TTAAAAACAAACTTCATTATTACTAGATTTATGGCACTTACATTGGCTCATTACCTGCTCTGGCAATAACCGATCCTGAGCTGATAAAACTAGTCATGGTTAAGGATTTTCAGGTAGGCGGTCATTTTATTGCAGCCATTTCATAGCAAACTTTTTCATCGCACCATTTTTTGAATCGGATTTTCAGTACTTCATCAATCGCCGCAAGGCAATCAGCACTGAGGAGCACACAACGAAAAGTCTTTTCAACCTTGAAAATGACGACTGGAAACGAGTGCGGCAAATTTGCAGTCCCGCCTTCACCACATCGAAGTTGAGAGGAATGAAGCCATTGATGCTGGAGTCCCTCAACAAACTGTCGTCGTACTTTGAGAGCATCAGCAGTGAGGGAAGTGGAGAGATCAACGTCAAGGAGGTTTTTTCAGGGTTTACGATCGACGTTATCGCATCGACTTCTTTTGCCACTAACACCGACGCAAATGGGGATCGCAGCAAAAAAAATCCTTTCATTGAACATGGTTTGAACCTTTTCAAAGTAAACCTACTTGGAATGATGAGAATTCTCCTTCTGCCAATGTTCATTCGACGGTACCTCAGCAAAATCCGCCCTCAAGAAAACTTTGCCTTTTTTCGACAGCTAGCAAAACAAGTGGTCAAACAGCGACGAGAAGGTAATATCAAAAGAAACGATTTTGTCCAGCTGTTGATGGATGTGTATGTAGACGAAAGTGAATTAAAGAAGACTAGCTATGAAACGCTGACCGCTTCCAATGAGAAAGAAGGTTTGTTGCATTTGAGCTCATGCTGTAACTATAACATTTTCCTATTTAGACCCTACAGTTGAAAAAGAAGAGAGCAAGCAGCTTGGAAAAACCAAAAATTTTCTCGATGACGATGAGATTATAGCAAATATTATCCTCTTCTTCCTAGCTGGTTTTGAAACCACCTCATCCGCCTTGGTGCACACTCTGTTTCACCTTGCGCAAGACCAAGAGATTCAGAACCGCCTGCTGAGTGAGATAGAAGAGGCACTGCACGGTTTGGACATCACTTCAGGGGAGTACTACGACACGGTGATGACAAAAATCTCGTACTTGGACGCCTGTATCAAGGAAACACTGCGTCTTTACCCGCCACTAGTTCGTCTGGAGCGTCGAGTGAACACTGATGGCTACAATTTGGGTGGAGTTGAGCTGGAGAACGACCAACTGGTGACCATATCGGCATTTTCCATTCACCGCAATCCCAAGTACTACCCGGAGCCGCTGACCTACAACCCTGAACGATTCATGCCAGAGAACAAGCACCTTCTGACGCCGTACACCTATCTTCCGTTTGGCGTTGGCAGTAGAAACTGTAGGATTTTTCTTGATAAGCAACAGAGTAATTTAATTTGTTTCATTTTTTT